AGTGTCACTATGAATCGAATGTTCTGGCGCAGCAGTGAAAGCAGTCAATCGCATAGCCCTACACTGTCAGAAGTGAAATATGCGGGAATATTTGACTGCTTTTCCTCAAGCTGCGTACACTCCGTACAGTGCTCTATGTCCAGTGGACAGAGCCAGTAATACAAAGATCACACAGCAATGAAGCTTCATTGCTGTGTGATCTTTGTATGACTGCTTTTATCTGTGGGAGTCAATAATAATAATGGGGAGTGATAAAGTAAAATCACTTTCAAAGCGAGGGTCTCTGGTTTGAGTCCTGGTGGTGACAGTCAATGTTTTCTTCAGACTTTTCCCGTTTGCGTTTTTCCCTCAAATCAGTGAGTAAAATCATTTTGTGGACGTTGAAGATACAGAGCAGCGCTTCATGCACTGGCTCTGGATCTGTTGACATCCATGACTGTACACTTCTACAATCTACAGTGTATATGCAATGTATTGTAGTCTGCTTCACTTCACTCTTCAGGCGTTCAACTAACAACGACTACTACTACTGTCATGTCCGTGTGTTGCTAAAATGACATACAATATGACTTGTAGTACATGTACATGACTGTACATCACTTCAGCCTTCACTGGCTTCAGCCTTCAGGGCACTTTCCAAGGATGGGACCATACTAGAACATCAAACAAGAACTAGGCCTCTAGGGCCACGCACACTGCCTGCACTTGATCTGCCACCTGTCCGCGTTCATACCGTACCGGTATACAGGTGTTGGAGTGGTGGTACGCGTGCTTGCTGTCATACTCATAGCTCATGCGTGTCGCAATCTAGTACAATCAGGACAAGCCTGGAATGCTGGACGGAGAGTACGTCAAGGCGCGCACGTGCCTTTGTAGTTATGACAATCATGTACAAAGGCACTAGCGCGTGTATGTTTCCAAGGCGACCAAAATGCAAAAGTATTAGTACTATAGGATGAAGGCCGCAGACATCACGCAACTACGTTACCTGTTTGACATGTATTACTGTGTATTTTATAACAAAAATATTATTGAAAACCCAGAATCGATTTTCTCGTTCCTATTACCAGTGGGAAAAAAACGGAACTAAGGATACAACCAAAGACACGGAGGCTAAGTACTGTAAATAGAAAGGTGTTAGAAATAACATCAAGATACAAGTGCAATAAAACCACTAGAGGAAACGCAAAAAGGTAACAAGATTACATAACCAAAGGCGAGAAAGCACTAAACGAAGTGTCAACCTGCGAATACAACTTCAGTGCAACAACGTGCTCTTTCTGCTTATACAAAACAGGCTTATGAATACGTATACAAACTGCCTCAAGGACTTTCAACTGTTGGACATAACGCGCACGACACAGTACAGAAAAATGAGAGTAATCATACACACCAAGACAGTGAGGACGAGATAACAAGTGTAGATACACAGCCGACTTCTTACGATCAACACATTCATCCTTCTGATCTTGCTCCTTCCCACCCGACTCCTCCTCGTCCATCTCATCGTCCTCTTCCTCGGTCCGCTCTTCATCCTCACGATCATCATCACCACCATCATCTGCCTCGTCCTCTGTCTCCTCACCAACCGTGCGTGTCGAAGTGTGCGTGTCGTGCGTGTTGTGTCAAGCGGCCGAAGCGTGGCCGACTGCGCAAGAACCCACCCCATGTGCCAGTGGTACAGACTGAGCCAACACAGAATGCAGTGCCGTGTGGGAGAGCTAGGCTGCCCAAGTTGCCAACTTCAGCAGCACCACCGTCGCCCATGCCACCACCAGAACCACCACCGGCTCTTCTTTTGGCGGGGGCTGGGGTGGACCCAACTACACTCGCGCTGGCATCACCAACTCTCACACGAATTGCCACGCCGCCCACATTAATCCAGAGACCTCGGAGGGCAACAGCAAACTACTCCACAGAGATCTATGCCAGAAACGGCCAAGGACCGCGCGTTGTGGACAGTACCAACAGGAGGAGGGTCGAGCAGTATCATGAGTCAGTGAGTGAAGCGGATTTGGAGGAACAACTCCGCTCACGGGACGAGCAGCTAGCAAATGGGAGACAAGTGGTCTGTACTGAAACGGTGGATGAGACAGATGATCAGAGGATGGAAGAGGAATTGGATGACGAAACGGTTGGTGAGGAGACAGAGGACGAGGCAGATGATGGTGGTGATGATGATGATCGTGAGGATGACGAGCGGAACGAGGAAGAGGACGTTAAGATGGACGAGGAGGAGTCGGGTGGGAAGGAGCGAGATGAGGCAGACGAATGTGTTGATCGTAAGAAGTCGGCTGTGTATCTACACTTGTGATCTCGTCCTCACTGTCTTGGTGTGTATGATGACTCTCATTGTTCTGTACTGTGACGTGCGCGTTATGTCCAACAGTTGAAAGCAGGCAGTTTGTATACGTATTCATAAGCCTGTTTTGTGTAAGCAGAAAGAGCACGTTGTTGCACTGAAGTTGTATTCGTAGGTTGACACTTCGTTTAATGCTTTCTCGCCTTTGGTTATGTAATCTTGTTACCTTTTTACGTTTCCTCTAGTGGTTTTATTGCACTTGTATCTTGATGTTATTTCTAACACCTTTCTATTTACAGTACTTAGCCTCAGTTTCTTTGGTTGTATCCTTAGTTCCGTTTTCCCACTGATGATAGGAACGAGAAAATCGATTCTGGGTTTTCAATAATATTTTTGTTATAAAATACACAGTAATACAGGCCAAACAAGTAACGTAGTTGCGTGATGTCTGCGGCCTTCATGCTATTCATAGCTATATTAAAATTATTATCTCCACGTAGGTTATTTGTACTATTTATTACTTAACATGATCCCACGTTCCGCGCTGAATGCACAGGTGTTTGACCATAAATGCATGTCGATTTGCAAAACATTTTCTTTTCGTTTCGAGTACGTTCTCGTGCACTCAAGAAACGTCATCTTCATCTCTACCACTGCGAAAACCTTACACATTCTTGGCGAACCAATTGTAAATTTTCTGAGGAAAAGAAAGATGAATGTTTTCAGTAGAAATCTTGAAAAACTAGAAATGCCATACACTAGGCCTTGGCGGATAATGCTCGAAAAGGTGGCAGATTCTGCTTTTTTTGCACCGAAATTGGCAGAACCATACAAACCTTATGGCAGGCAATTTCTCGAATTCTGCTCCATTTCTTTATCCACATACCAAACATGCATGAAACTTACCAGAAAAAGTACCGAATTCTGCCAATTTTTCTGCCGGCATTATCCGCCAAGGCCTACCATACACACTGTAGAATACATAATATTTGAACATGTATAAGGGATTTGGAGACAAACTGACAAAGGTTTTATCATTGCGATTCAACGAAAGAGACATAAGAAAATCTTTTCTCATCGTTCTACAATGTTATGAATTCGGATGCGTGTACCGAAGCACGTGTAATTTCGTATTTTGAGTTTTTTAAACCCAGATTTACTCCACAAGAATGTGCAAGCACAAATGGTGACTGGGTGCGTGCATGTGTGTGTTTGTTTGTGTGTATGTGTGCCTGTGTTTACACGCTTGCGGGAAGGGGGCTTGCAGTGGGTTTGACCTGTTAGCGATAAAGTGAACTCTAATCTAGCAATGTAGCAAGGATACCTGAACTAATCTACATACATGTACATGTATACATCTTGATAGGTGTCTTCAAATAAAGGAAATGGGCCAAAGGGAAAAGAAACTGAAGATTATATTAAATGTTCCGCTGCGAACATACACTGTACATGCATACATACAGGAAACTGACTTTGTACTTGCACATTGTACATGTAACTCGTACAATATACCATGCTGAACATTCACTCCAGGATAATGTACAATATACCATGCTGAACATTCACTCCAGGATAATGTACAATATACCATACTGAACATTCACTCCAGGATAATGTACAATATACCATGCTGAACATTCACTCCAGGATAATGTACAATATACCATACTGAACATTCACTCCAGGATAATGTACAATATACCATGCTGAACATTCACTCCAGGATAATGTACAATATACCATACTGAACATTCACTCCAGGATAATGTACAATATACCATACTGAACATTCACTCCAGGATAATGTACAATATACCATGCTGCACATTCACTCCAGGATAATGTACAATATACCATACTGAACATTCACTCCAGGATAATGTACAATATACCATACTGAACATTCACTCCAGGATAATGTACAATATACCATGCTGAACATTAACTCCAGGATAATGTACAATATACCATACTGAACATTCACTCCAGGATAATGTACAATATACCATACTGAACATTCACTCCAGGATAATGTACAATATACCATACTGAACATTCACTCCAGGATAATGTACAATATACCATACTGAACATTCACTCCAGGATAATGTACAATATACCATGCTGCACATTCACTCCAGGATAATGTACAATAAACCATTCTGAACATTAACTCCAGGATAATGTACAATATACCATGCTGAACATTCACTCCAGGATAATGTACAATGTACATGTACATGTATGTTGAGAGTGTTACAGGTTACTAGCCGTAGCCTGGCTTCACAGATGTCTCCTGTACGGGAAGTGGCGGCCCAGGCGGAGCTGTAGATTCATCAGGATGCTTTTCCATCGGTGTTGAATGCAGAGCATAGCACACTGGTGCTTGATGCTTTTCAGGAGACTCCGTGCACTCAGCTATGAGTGGACCTGTAAACACACACACACACACACACACACACACACACACACACACACACACACACACACACACACACACAATCATTTTTTCTCTCTCTCTCTCTCTCTCTCTCTGTCTCTTTTTTCTTCCCTCTTTGCTACCTTGTAAACGGGAAGAAGTTCCCGTTTGGATTTTGCGAAGTAACACAAAGTAAAAACAAACAAACACACACACGCGCAAGGTTTCGAGTACTAAAACATTAGTGCTCCCTGGTAGACAGTATGCGGTTTGTCATACCTGTCCGGAGACCGTAGGATGGATATCCTGTCCCTAGCCGATCAAGCAGCTGTCCGATGACGACATCTTTCGCCATATTCTCCCGACACAGGAGCACGATCAGCTCCCTGTCCTGGGCGAGTCGCTTCTCCAGGCGATTGTTCCTCTCTATTAGAGCTGTGATTCTTGCTTCGAAAGGAGTGCACGTATCGCTGAGGCCAATTTCCGTGGTCATGTTCACTCAACCTCTGCAATGAAAACTACAGTAAACAACAGACCACTATGCTTTCGTTTGTAATAATGCTCAAGAGTTACACTAGCGGAAGTAAAATACAATGTAGGGCTTTTTCGTTGTTACTCTGAGTTTCATGGCAAAGACCAATCATCAGGCAACATCTGATCAGACGCACTGCCTCTGCACAATTTAATAATTTAAACTCGAATGTTGAGCCCATAGTAACCTACAGTACATGTACATGTATAAGCAAATTAGTTAGGGGTCGTCCACAAATATCGATGTTTCTTTAGAGTAGGGGTGAAAGTTGGCACTGAGATCCCGAGTTCGAGTACTCTGATTTTCTCCGATCGAATATTCGAGTATTCGAGTATTCTTCATCCCCTAAAAATTGCACACCAGGGGCCTTAAAATCACATGATACAACCCTGATTGAACCGAGTAGCAGTCATTTTTCTCGGGTATATCGGTTCGTGGGTCATTTGGGCTCTCTCAACTCGCGAAAAAATGTTCACCACACAGTCTGCACCTCAATATCTGCCTACTGCTGCTCTGAAACTGCAGATTTCTGTGATAAATGCATGCACCATGTATGAACGAGTACTCTGATTTATTCCGAGTACGATTATTTTTGAAAAAACCGAGCGAGTACTCGAGTACTCGGTATAATTGTTTCACCCCTAGTTTAGAGAAGATATTCGTTCGTTTGGGGGGGGGGGAGGGGGTTTGGGCCCTGTTCGTCTCGTCTTTGCAGAAAAAATATCGAACTCTATCTATGGACGGGCGCTGTTCGAACATGTAGTTTATGACCTACACAAAGAGAAAGCCCCGTGAGCATAGCCATGGCAAGGTTGCGCGACCGTGGCAACGTAAACCTAGGTGTATGGTGACATTAGAGTGGCAATTGATCACGTTTCACGAGGAAATTGAACTTCATTAAAAAATATCGATCCTTGCATAAACATGTGTATGTTCGTTATGAGGGGGGAGGGAGGGGGTCTGGGGAGAAATGAACAAATATCGTCTCGAAAAAAACATCGATATTTACGGACGGCCCCTTACTAACGTTAGTTATGATTTCTAAGGTCCGCCGATGCCAAAGGAGTAGTAATATTTCCACTGAAACTTGCCCCCAGGGTGCCCGGTAGACCGAAGTGCCCGTAACTTCGGGGTCCGGATAACCGAGGTATGAGTGTACATGTATAAGTTACTAGCTATGATTTCTAAGGTCCGCCGATGCCTACTCGCTCTGCCTTGTTGAGGAGGCCGACGTGAGAGACGTGGTCAAACGCACCAGCAATATCAATTGCTACTACTGGGACGCAGCTCCCTCAGCTACAACCTGCACCCATTCGCTTTGGACGTTTTTATGAATCGCATTCCTTCTTCTCTTCACATGTACATGTAACATGTACGTATTGTGTGACTCACGCACTGCCACCATCAATGCCAACGCAACGGATACGCGACATAGGACTTACCTTGAAGTGGCATGGTGTCGGTTGGTCAGAAATATACTATAATTATAGGCAGTACTGCTGTTCAGACGTCCGGTCATATACCAGTACTAATACTACTGACTACTAGTATCCTCGTGCATCAGCTGATAATAATGATGGGATCGCGAATCGCCAGATTGATCCCAGATCGTCCTGTTTACTTTGGGCATTTCGACAAACGTTCTTCTGTAACTAACTTCTAACTAAGACGGTAACGTTATAACTGGAACTTGTGTCCAGATCCACCCCCTTTTATCTTTTCTGAACAAGGGCATCGCCGTACATGTTAGTGTAGTGAAAGACCGGTTGCAGTGCAGAGGGCATACGGGCACGCTGACGGCCATGCATGCAGTGCCAGTCAGTAAAGACAGGCAGTGAGCAGGTGAGTACAGTCCACAGTACGCAGTAGTCCAGTAGTACATGTAGTAGTATGCGTGCAGCAGTGGTCCAATATTGTTGTCTTGGTGGTCTGTGCCTGTGGTGTGAACTAACACCCATTCGCTTTGGACGTTTTTATGAATCGCATTTCTTCCCCTCTTCACATGTACATGATGTACGTATTGTGTGACTCACGCACTTCCACCATCAATGCCAACGCAACGGATACGCGACATAGGACTTACCTTGAAGTGGCATGGTGTCGGTTGGTCAGAAATATACTATAATTATAGGCAGTACTGCTGTTCAGACGTCCGGTCATATACCAGTACTAATACTACTGACTACTAGTATCCTCGTGCATCAGCTGATAATAATGATGGGATCGCGAATCGCCAGATTGATCCCAGATCGTCCTGTTTACTTTGGGCATTTCGACAAACGTTCTTCTGTAACTAACTTCTAACTAAGACGGTAACTGGGACTTGTGTCCAGATCCACCCCAATTTATCTTTTCTGAAGAAGGGCATCGCCGTACATGTTAGTGTAGTGAAAGACGGGTTGTAGTGCAGAGGGCATACGGGCACGCTGGCGGCCATGCATGCAGTGCCAGTCAGTAAAGACAGGCAGTGAGCAGGTGAATGCAGTCCACACTGGAACAGTAGTACTATGGGTCAGTGCCAGTGGTCTGTGTTTAGTGCGTGCCACTGTCAGACTGTGTTTGGTGTACGTGGAATCGTGGATGTGTCTAGAGACTCTAGACTACCTCGATGACATCTCTTGAAACGCAGCGTGTCATGAAGACATGATGATGAGGCAAACTGCCTGGCATGCTGGTACACAGGTAACTATTTCTTAGTAGTGCTGGTACGCCCACTCAGTACAGGGTCAGGCCTGCAGGGTAGACCTGGTACCGGTAGACGCATAACCCTGGATCGTGGGCGCAAAGACTACCACTCACGTTTCACTACTGCCTAGTACTGAATCCTACCTGACTTCTTGACACGACTCAAACTTGCCAAAGTCACTAAATCAATGTCAACTACAATAATCAAGCCACATATCTACAACGTCACGCGGGTGCTGGCAAAAGTCCTGCTGCACGGCGGCGGGCTTTGCCCGCCGCCGTACAGCCCAATACGTGGCTCAAAAACCTGATTTTTTGGACTTGGAGCAAAATTCTGCACACTTTCGCGTGTTTCCATGATACGACAAGTTGCGCACGGTCTGCTCACATTCAAATACAGTGCTGCCAACAAAAAAATCTTTCCTTGCAAGGGCACATTTTCGGCCATAACTCTTGAACGGCCGGTCAGATCGGGACACAATTTTCAGAGAATTTGCAGCTATTCATGCTCTTTCAACTGACGTAGCACTCAATATGAATTTACAAATTCGATTTTTCAGCGAATTTTTGGGTAGTCTGCCACCTTAATCTGCAAGCCCCCAGATACATGTACATGTACATGTACAATCATGTACTACTACTAGTAGGTGCTGGTACGCCCACTCAGTACAGGCTAGACCTGGTAAGTGGTAGACACATAACCCTGGATCGATCGTAGGCGCAAAGAAAACATTAGATTTAAAAGGTGGCAGATCACATTTGGGTCCAAAAAAAGGACCAAAAAATGAAAGTTGTCAGAATGAGGCCATATCCGGCTCATTTTCCTCCTAAAGTGATGAACTTTCCGCTGGTGTAATTTTTTATGCGGTAAACAACACGACGGTTGGGAAATTTTAAAAATTCAAACCAACTCCCACTGCGAATTTGTAAAAAATCAGCTGATCTCCACTTTGAATGCAGTTCGCAAGCGCAATCAATCTTCGTTCCGGTTCACCGCGTGGATCGCGGAGGGTGCCAAGACCGCCAGCATGTGTGTGTGTGTGCCGTGTTGGCTTTTAGTTGTACCCCGCACCGACCCGTACATCTACTCAGCTCTGCAGTACAGTCTAGTCAGCAGGTCAGCACTGGTACGGTGTCACTGTCAGCACGAACAAAAAAAAAAATGCAAATCCGCGTCAAAGGAAGTATAGAAAAATTTGGAAATTGGCGTGGCCGCTGTTCTCTGTAGCTTTTGTCTTCTGGTCATTGGCAATAAGAGGAGATAGTCCGCTAACTACAGAGCCAAGAAGCGTGTTTTCTACGGGAACCAGTTCCAGAGCCCCAAGCGCAGAGATCTGGAGAAAGAAAACGAGTCTGCATCTCGTGCTCAAACTGAATGTGACTCTGAGCAATTGGGAGTACCTGACACGTCTCGTAGCTGTGAACCCTTGGCTGGCGATCTGAACTTACTTGCAGATGAGGATACCGAGAGCGCTGGTGACTCCAATGAAGACTCAAGTGAGGAGAGTGATGAAGTCCTGGATTATGACAAGCGGAATTTTAGTTTGCAGAAATTAAATTTAATTGCAGAATTTATTGTCCACATCAGCAGTTTGCAGAAAATGTAAGAGCTGGCCTAGTCTCCATAATTGAAGTTGCATGCAACTACTGCACTGCTGTTGCTTCACCGCCCGCAGTGGGAAAGACATCCAGTTATTTTGAATTGAATAGAAAGAGCGTACTGGCTATGCGCCTGCTTGAACGAGGCCGCGAGGATTTCCGGAAATTGTGTGCATTCCTCGATTTGCCAGCGCCGGTTGCAAAGAAGAACTACCAGCGCCACGTGAAGAATCTTCACCAAGCTGCTAAAGCTACTGCAAGTTTGAGCATGAATAATGCTGCTGAAGTTGGGTTCACACAACGAGTTGCAGCCGGGGAGGAATCGCCAGCCGAAATCGCCGTCACAGCGGACGGAACATGGATGCGACGAGGATACAGCTCCTTATATGGCATGCAGACTGTGATTACTTGGGAGACACACACATTTTGTGGACGTGGAAGTGTTGACCCGCTATTGTACTTTCTGCACAAGGAAGGAGACTCCCTACGGAACTATTTTGGAAATGCTATCTGCAGGATTGCAGGCTTCGTCACAGCGATGGCCCGTGTTATTTGGGCATCTGTTTGCCACAACGTACAGTCCAAGGATGCCGAGAAATGCAATCAGTTCTGCCCAGAAGGACTCAGGGTGCAGGTGGCAGCAATAGAAGTGTGGATATGGCAATGTTTCTGTGGCAGTTTCTTCATCGTCAAACAACACTATCCCTGTTGCAGTCTTTGACGAAATTAAACCGGTATAACATATTATGTCCATCTTGCCGACAAATCCCTCCTACAGGGCTGTGTTTGCCGTGCCACACAGAATGCCAATGAAGCACTCAATGGCACTATTTGACATCTCTGTCCAAAGGAATCGTTCTGTAGCTCCATAACTGTTGAGACTGCTGTGTTCCTGGCAGTGATCGTGTTCAATGAAGACCACAGTGAGCTTGCCGAAGTAGTACAGCGTATGGGGTGCACTGTTAGTCCGTCGTTGGAGAGAAATCTAGGTGTCTTTCAAGAGGAAAACTGTACCACAAGCGTAGAAAGTCGTCAGAAGAGGAGCAAAAGGCAAGGAAGCATTGCAGAGCAATGAAGAAAGGGTTTCTGGATCAAGCACAGCACAAGGAAGAAGAAACATATGCTGCTGGTGGCTTTTGAAAGGTGAAACTGGAGTGTACTTTTTCATGAATTTGACCCTCTTTTTCATGGACTCCGACAAGCTTGAGCCAACATATCTCAGGGCTTACTTGTCATAGAATCATAATCTTGGGCATTATTCACATCTACGTGAAATTTGCTAGGTGCTAAACTAAACAGAACTGTCAATATCCCAGCGAGGTTCTTCCAACTGGCATGCCTCTGAATTATCTGTAAACATCGCGTTTCTGATCTGTAAAATTGAAAATCACAATGCTCCACTGTACATATGTTTGCAAGGTTTAGTCTAGTTTAGCACCTCGAGCTGTCAGTCTGCATGAGTTCTGAGCAAATTAATACTGCTGGGTACCATTAGCCTCTGTTCTCTTTTGGCTCAATCCTTGCCCTGTACGTGCGATATGAACGCATTTTGGCTGAGAGCAAGTTCGGCACTTCAAGATATGTGAGATGTGTGAAAAATGATTCTGAACCTAGGTATGAACACCCTCAACATCACTACCAAGTTTGGTTTGGATATTCCTAGCTGTTCATGACTTCTGGTCCAAAGAGTGTAGCATACGGAAAAGGGGAACTGCCACCTTTTTAAATAATTGTCACAATATGTGGCGTATGTAGAGAAGTGCCTCATCACCGTCACAACCGCATTGTCGTGTGATGCTTTATTTTTGTGCAGTACTCAAATGCCCAATAGCGGAAGATTACATCACCATTTTTGTGCTGCCTCTGGCTCACACCATCATAATGGCCTCCCGACGCATTAGACTTTAGTAACGTTATGTACATGTACATGTACATGTACATACCCATAGTCGGCATAGGCCATGTGTTTGGTAACGACTGGCTTCTTGCCTTGGCTTCCTGGCTTGGCTTGTACTAAGTTATACTTATCATCGTACATGTACATGGATTGTCTTAGTTTTCGCGAACTCCATTGGAGCCATGATTGTAGACTCACAGGGGCCTCTTTGCTACAATGGATTCTTTGTCAGTGTCACTATGAATCTAATTTTCTGGCGCAGCAGTGCAAGCAGTCAATAAATATAGCCCTACATCGTAAGGAGTGAAATATGCGGAAATATTTGACTGCTTTTATCTACATTGTAGGTACCTCAGGCTGCTGTGTGGTAACACACACACTACAAGTACAATGTACATCTATGTCCAGTGGACAGAGCCAGTATTGTCATACAAAGATCACACAGCAATACAATGATCACACAGCAATGAAGCTTCATTGCTGTGTGATCTTTGTATGACTGCTTTTATCTGTGGGAGTCAATACTATTATAGCAATAAAAACTGCTTTATGGCAGTTTTCTAAAAAAAGTTATTGTGTTCTAGTCCATGGACCCCGTCTAAAAAGTAAGAAATTAACGAAATGTGATAGCCGAAAATTAAAATTTCACACAAAACCTCACAACAATCACAGCACTTGAAATGCTGCTTTCAACCCTAAACTTGTACTGCACAAACAATTGGCAACATGCATGTCATGCATGCATAGGAAAGAGGATCACCAGGGGAAAAGGTCTTCTACATGTAGCTTTTCATTCTGTGTGTGATTATTGTGAGGTTTTGTGTGAAATTTTAATTTTCGGCTATCACATTTCGTTAATTTCTTACTTTTTAGACGGGGTCCATGGACTAGAACACAATAACTTTTTTTAGAAAACTGCCATAAAGCAGTTTTTATTGCTATAATTTCTTTTGTTTTTTCTGTCACCAATCAATGGAATGCCCTATCACAATATGTAAATTTAAACTAAAATAATGATGACCTTCACATCATATCAAGAGATCAATACCGTATTAATACGCATTGATGTGCAAGCCTTTTCTTGCAGAAAATGGCAAAATGCATGTTCTTCTGCGGGGAAACATGTGAGTACGTAGTGGTGGACCGTGGTGATACTTTTTTTATACGGAGGTCATTCTGTGCATGTTGCTGTAGCAGGATTTCA